TGGCCACGCTCGGTAAATTTGCGACGATTATGACAGGAAGGCAAAGTCTAGGTGATCCACCATCTCTTGCACCAACATCAAAACGATGAGTGCCAACTACCCTGGCAACCTCACTCGAACTGAGATTTCCCACTTGCAAGAGATATACCTTCGATTCACGTCAATGATCTCCTGCGTTGTCCAAACTATCGTGGGATGCCAGATTACACGATGTGATGAGGGAACTACTTCACTGGTAGTCATGAACCCCACATGTGCCAACACGACACGGGGTTTCGAAGATCATCAGGAGCTCATTTATACTGCCAGTCATCACAAAGCACAGACGGCATTTACATCCTCAAAGGCAGTCCCCGTCCCACTGAGACAACTCCCTCAAACTCTGGTGATCCATGTTCTCATCTTCCCCCCCCCCCCCCCCCCCCATTATCCAAAACATAAATCTGAGCTCTGGGTACATCAATCGAAACGCCCGCCGAAAGTCTCCGTCAGAAACCAGGATTTGTAGGCCCGCCGTGCAGCAGTGCCGTGACAATCCACTAGACCAGCAAAATGCCGCACCCATGCGTGCACATTCAGGTGCAACACAAACCAGTTGAAACTCACACGCTGGCGACGCAACAACTTCTGATCCATGCCTTCAACGACAGTTCCTCACGAGCTTTTCGTACCCCACACGGATCCCACCACGTCAAACAGCCCTCATCGAAAAACACACTGAAGTGCGTCATCGCGAGTTAGAAGAAAAACCAAAGAGGCGCCGACTCAGATTATCAAAGACTTGCGACGTCGCTTCAAATACCCACCCAAGCAGCTCGGCGACGCAGACGCCGACCTCACCTTGGAAGCCCCACAGCTTTTTGCTACTTTCCACTGTAGCAGCAGACGGTGCGTAAGATTCATGCTTTTTCTGCAGGTTCTGGCGCCGCAACCCAGTGATTGTCCCACGCTGGAGCCTGTTACAATCACGATAAGTGCATTTTCTATACTGATACTGTATTCCATGTGTGTCTCACACTACGACGTGAGAGGATGATGTGAGATGTATCCCAGGAGTGTGTAGACCTCAACTTGTACATTAGTAATATACACTTGTATTGTTATGCATATTAGCAACAAAAGCTGTACACTGGAAGACTGCATGCTTGTTGTCTTGGCGTGTGAGCTTCGATGTGCGTTGGTTTTGCAGTGTTTCGGCGCTTGAATGGCCCCCTTTTGCGGTGCGGCAAAACTGATCCTGCTACTGAGCTTGAGTTCCACATCCTGCCAAAGCTCCACATCCTTGCGCCCTTGATGTCTTAGTTTAGTTAGTTTTGTACAATCCATGTATAAATAAATAAAACAAATATATATATACACACATATGTGTGTGAGTGAGTAAAGCATGAACATAAAATAAAATAATTTTGCACAATATTCTTAAAAATAAAAATAATTATGCACAAAAAAAAGAGAAAAAAAAAAGAGAAAAACAAAAGAAGCTTATGTAATTTGTGAACACATTATACATTATTCTTTTTGTGATTACAGCAGTGCATTTTTCTTAATGCAGTTGCTATACAAATCAAATTTATTTTAAGTGGAAAGGCTGTATCAAATCTTGAATTTATATATGTTTTTATAATTTATCTTATAATGTTAGTTTGACATCAAAGTAAGTTTTCAAAACAAGATTATTATTATTATTATTATTATTATATTTTTTATGTGAAATTATTAATTAAATATGAGAAGAAATTCAATTTATATTAAATTTATATTAAATCATTAATTTATATATATATATATATATATATATATATATTCTTATACAACTAATATTCACATAGAGATGGAATTCTGAAATGAGTCTCTATCAATGCATGAACAAAAGAAGAAATAATAAAAAAAACAAAAAAAACAAAAAATAATAATAATAATAATTTGAATTATTTTATTTATTTTATTTTTCAATTACAGTATTTATACTATAATAATTTGGATGTTTTTGTTATGTGAAATTCTTAATTTAGTATGAGAAGATTCTGAGCTCACAAATATAACATTTATTTATTTTAAATTTTGAATTTTAAATTACTTAAACATACTTATTGTATTTTCAAATTTTCATTTAATTTTTCCAACATTTCCCTTTATTTACAAAAAAACAAAAACAAACGAACCACACACATACTTTAAACATGATAACCAACTCTTCTTTTTCTTTTTTAAAATGTACAAAAAAAATGCTCAAGTCATTGATCACACCCTACAAACACCCACCTAACTTTTGATCACAGTCTTCATGGCACTAATAATGCCACCAAACAGATATCTATACTTGAAGCCATTAAAAATCTTTGATGAGGATTCTAACACAAAAGGACTTGGATTTACAATCTACCCTTTCATATAGTGGGATTCCATTGGGCTAATTGGCTCAATATGTGTCTCACTTGAAAAAAAACTAATATTCACTAATCAAAACAAAGAATTTAAAAAGAAGAATAGGATAGAAAAGTAAAGAAGAATTAGAAAGAATTTGGAGGGTACAATACATCCTATCTACAACAACCCAATCATCCCTACCAAATTGTGTTCTCATGATGCATGTTGACAAAGGATTTGGTGCAAAAGATGCAACTCAATTCACATGGTTCCACCAAAGTTCATCAATCCAACCAGATGCATCATTTCCATGGCCTCCCATCTCAACTAATTTCCGCTCCCTAAAGTAAAGAGAAGTGTAGACAAAAAAGTCTCTCATCTCTACACTTTCAATGCCTCCATAGTAGAAGGCAAGAACACATCCTTATCACCACCTTTATAGATTCTATGTATATATATTTGTCATTTAATAGACTTGTTTTCTTCTTTAAAAGTAAGGAACAAATGGGATGAACTTACGAGGGTATTAGATGTTTGAACCTTGTCAAAAGAAAAGTACAAATAAATAGGTTCCATATGAATTGCATAGGATGAGTGAGGAGTTTTTGTACACAAGAATGGAAGTTGGCATCACAAGCCATTGTTGTGTGTATTAGAAGGTGTCTCTTGTATACTTAGACATGTGTGTTAAAAGATGTGTTTTCAAGCATGCAATGGACAATAATCTAGTAGCAAATTATAAAATGATAGTACAAAACTCAGATTTTTGAGATAAAGATTACAATTCATATTAATGAAATTAACAAAGTTATAAATATTTTTGCATGGAGCTTGTCAACACTAGTTGTATTAATAGAAATTATATTATTTAGAATAATCTAAATCTATTAGATTATAATTAAGAATAATATTTTTTCTTTCTATATATGTGTGTGTGTGTGTATATATATATATATATATATATACACATAAACCTTTGATATATTTCTTTTTTTTTATTTGATCTTTGAGATTTTACGTATATTGGTACTTTGAACCATAGTTATATTAATATCCAATAGATTTATCCTCAATCACCAAAGACAATATCAATATATAAATAGTACTTTTTTGTAAAAACCTCTTTTTAAAAAATCTTTTAGATACCAAACTAAGATTCTAAGTCCAAATATATACCTTAATATCTTTAGTTATTTTGGTTGTTTGAGGTTTAATACAAACTTGAATATTTAAGTTCAAAATTTTATCTTTCAATTACATGAATGTATTTGAATAAAAGAAATAAAATAATATTAATAATGATAACTAAGAAAGTATTTTACTAATATAATCTAATGTAATTTAGAAACTATAAAATTTAATAAAAATGTTGAAATGATGATTTATTTTTAAAATTTATAAACTTGAATTATGTTCCATCAAGAAACACAAATAAAATAATAACAACATAAAAGGTTGTAGGATAATTACATATGAATTTTAAAAAAAGTCCAAGAGCCTTTCCAAACAAAAACTTAAGTTTTAAGATGCAACATATTAGATATAAGGGATAAAATTTTGAATTATGTTAAATATTAGGGCATGTGAATTTTTTTCTCATTAATTACATATAATTTTTACTAAAAACATCTATAAATTCAGAAACAATACTTTAGAATATACAAGCATTTGCATTAAATACATGCATACATGCAAACAAACAATTGATTGAAATATTTCTTGAAATGTTCGTTTTTTACAAATTTAAATTTTTATAAGTAAAAATTCAAGTAGGATGAACTGCATTGAAATGTGATTATATTTATATATATATATATATATATATATATGTTTGAAAAAATAATTAAATATTCAAATAGAATATTGGAAATAGTTACTAATTTTCTTGTATTTTTTTCAGTGAAAGATATAGTCTTAGGTAGAATTTTATGGTACATTTGTTAACTGTCTTTTTCCATTAGATGAAACTATAAGTCATAAATCATTATGATATTATAATAACAGTATGCATGTACAAATGCTATTTTTAAATTACATATTTTTTTATTTTATGAACTTGAAATTATAATTTTAAAAAACGATCCTTTCCAAATATATGTGTTACAGATTGTTTGGTTGCAAATTATGCGCACCAACAATAGGAATATGTGTGTGTGTATATATATATATATATATAAATACACAACTCCAATATGTAGCATTAAAGAGCTTCTTATGAATGAATAAGGTATATACACATGCTTATGCCCTCATTATTTGTCTCCCACTACAAATATCTCCTCCTCTACTCCTCACATATATTCCCATCACCAAAAAAGAATCGCTTCACAGCCTATGGGGTCAGAATCAACAGAAAATCTAATCATTTCACACACACACACACACATATATATATATATATATATATGTGTGTGTGTATGTATGTATGTAGGTATGTATCTATATATATATATATATACAATGAAAGAAGTAAAAAGAAACCAGGTTTTTCAAGAGACAAAGCCAACACACCTTTGACCCATTCATCCACGTCATGTTCCACGTTGGCATCAATCAAGCATCCCAACGAGAAAAAACCTGCACCAAGGCAGTCAGTCAGCTGAATGGACTGCCAAATCACACTCTCTAAGTGCCACACTCTCACACCTGGATGCTGGCTGCTATTGCAGGAGAGTGTGGCCCAGTCGTTGAAACACAGACTCAGGCAGTCCAACGCAGAAAAGGAGGAAAAAGGGAATCGAAAAGGGGGGCCAGAATGTGAGCGAAGGTGGAACTCAGAGTTGAAAGGACCCAGTGAACAGTATGTCAATTCAACGAGTGGGGGGAGAAAAAAGAGAGGGTCTCAGACTGACTGACTGTAGGGTTGTCCCACATTTGGCCTGCACTGGGTCCTGGATATGTCTAGATGTCTAGATTAGGGTGCTTTCCCGTTTCTTTGGATCAACAGTAGCACCATACAGGAAGATGTGAAGAAGGAGAATAAGAAGTTGAAGTTGAAGAAGTTGCAGAAGAGGGGAAGACAATTCCTGATGGACAACGCGCAACAGCGTTTTTCTCATGAGGTCACCACCTCCGGAGTACTACTCACTGTGCAGTCAAACCTTTCAAGTAAAAATGTATTGTCTTCTACCGAACTGGTCGCCGCTGTTTTCCTTGCTTTGATAAATTGGGTGGTGTGTTTCGATAGACGGACGTGTGCGTGGATATTCCTGGTTGGAAGCAAGCTAGAATTTGAGATTTCGGTTATTCTGGTTTATTTATTTATTTATTGATTTCGATCTGGGGACAGGTGTGGCGCATTCATGAGAATACCCTGGCGACATTAAATTGGTGAATTGCGAATTCAATCTGCAGCGTGCAGGGCAGGAGTAAGAGGTGGGAGTTCATCGACGACGACGACGACGCAGCACAGCACGTGAGCGCGGGAGCCTCCTCGCCGCTAGATATCCACAATTGTATTCATCTTCTTCTGTTTAATTTGATCCGTCTACGAACAATTTGCACTGGCAGCTATAATTGTGATCAACCGCACTCCACTTCGACGTCGCTAACCATCCCCATTATAATTCATTAAGGAGCCAGGTGCGTAGCTCTATGTTGTGTTGCTAGCCTTCAATCAGCGAGGCTTGTGCCATTGTTCGGAGTCCAGGACCACGGTGACCAAGGCAGTTTCTCAGTAGTGATTGAGTTAGTGGTGATCTGCTTCCGGTGGGTTGGAGTTGGCTTGAAGTGGTTTCGGTCCGAGCAGAGGCGATTTCCCCGTCATTGTTTAATTTTTGGGTAGATTACGAGTGGTACAGGCTAGTAGAGTAGGTTCGGTAATCCTCCACCCGGAGAAAATGTCTCCCAGTGTGATGTCGGAGCCTATCATGTCCGAGCCTGAATCGCAGACTAAATCGATGAAACCAGTGCAATCAGTAATCCGAGAACGCGCGACCGACAGCATGGTCGTGAAGTCTATGGAATCCGAAGTATGTGACTTTATCTACAGGTCCAAGTTGCCCGACATCGATATCCCTAACCACATGCCCTTGTCCGACTACTGCCTCGAGAAAGCAGCTCAGTGGCCCGACAAAGTTTGCTTGATCGACGGTGTTACAGGCAGAGAGCATACTTATGGGGAGATCGAGCTCTCCACACGGCGAGTGGCTGCGGGCTTGTTTAAAATTGGAGTGAAGCAAGGAGATGTGATCGCCCTGCTGCTCCCCAACTGCGCTGAGTTCGTCCAAGTGTTCCTCGGCGCCGCCAAGATGGGCGCCATCGTTACCACTGCTAACCCATTCTATACCTCGGCTGAACTAGAGAAGCAAACTATTGCATCCGGCGCCGGGATTGTGGTGACGCACTCTAGCTACATCGAGAAGCTTGCTGGCTTGAACGTACAGGTACCAACCACCTCGCACCCGGTCTCTGTCAATTAACCTCACTAACGACCAAGATTTCTCAACCACGAGCTATCTCCTCCAGCAAAAGAAAGATAGCGCAATTTGTTTGACACAGAAAGATTCACTTCACCAACGACTTGGCACATGCCGGTTACTTCAAGGTTTCTTCAATGTAATACCATGGCGCACAATCTGCTATGTTTCTGCTTGCTTACGTTCTGAATGTGTTTTTCAGATCATCACCGTCGATCAGCACGTCGATAAATGCATGCACATTTCGATGCTGCTGGAGCCCAACGAGGCTGAGTGCCCACAAGTAGAAATCCACCCTGATGACGTAGTCTGCCTTCCATACTCTTCTGGAACCACCGGACTACCCAAAGGGGTGATGCTCACACACAAGAGCTTGGTCTCCAGCGTGTCTCAACAGGTCGATGGCGATTCGCCTAATTTCAACATCACTGTTGAGGATACCTTGATGTGTGTGCTGCCCATGTTTCACATTTACTCTTTGAACTCCATACTCCTATGCGGGTTGAGAGTTGGGGCTACGCTCGTGATCATGCCCAAGTTCGAGCTCTCCAAGATGTTAGAGCTCATCCAGAAGCACAAGGTGACAATGGGGCCTTTTGTGCCGCCGATCGTGCTCGCGATTGCAAAGAACCCCATAGTGGAGAATTACGACCTTTCCAGTATCAAGATGGTGATGTCAGGTGCGGCTCCTCTTGGCAAGGAGCTTGAGGATGCGTTCAGAGCTCGCTTGCCAAACGCCGTTTTAGGCCAGGTAACAAAGTCCGTTCATTTCCTGAGTCATAGTTACGACTAAGCAACATTTTTTTTGATCTCCTTCCGCATCGAATACAAGGTCAGTTTTTTTTGACAAAAGAATTGAGAACTGGTTGTTCGGTTATGATGTGCAGGGTTACGGAATGACAGAAGCTGGCCCAGTGCTGGCAATGTGTTTGGCTTTTGCCAAGTCGCCGTTCCCGGTGAAGCCTGGTTCATGCGGCACAGTAGTGAGAAATGCTGAGGTGAAGATTGTCGACACAGAAACTGGAATGTCCTTGCCGTACAACCAGCCCGGAGAGATTTGCATTCGGGGGCCCCAGATCATGAAAGGTTCGTTACCGTCGTCCTCAACGGGTCGATTGTTTGCAGCAAAGTATGTTTGACATTTATGGTTCTCCATATCCATATGATTTGTTTGAGTATTGTGTGCACTTGATGCTGTCAATTACAAGTGGGAGGCTCAAGAGAAACGATGCTTGGTCTTGTGCAGGTTACTTGAATAATCCTGAAGCAACAGCCAACACCATCGACAAGGACGGTTTTCTGCACACCGGAGACGTCGCCTTCATTGATGAGGACGAGGAGATGTTCATCGTCGACAGGGTGAAGGAGATTATTAAGTTTAAGGGCTTCCAAGTACCGCCAGCTGAATTAGAAGCACTTTTGCTATCCAATGAGGAAATCCAACATGCTGCCGTTGTATCGTAAGTTCACAACTGAGATGCCGATGATCTACAATAGCTTAAAAGATTTTCAAACTCACAATTTACTTTTGGATGCAAACTGAGATGTCAACCGAGACCAGAACAGACATGAAGGAGCACTTTAGTTGTAATCCTCGTCCACCAGCTAGAAGTATTTGGGAAGAAATTTGGACTGATTAGTTGCATCGTCATTGTTCACAGACGCAAGGATGATGTTGCTGGAGAAGTGCCGGTCGCATTCGTTGTGCGACAGGCAGGATCAACGATTAGCGAAGAGGAAGTCAAGGATTACGTCGCTAAACAAGTCGTGTTTTATAAGAAAATTCACAACGTCTACTTCGTCGATTCCATTCCGGAGTCTCCCTCCGGCAAGATCTTGCGGAAGGACCTGAGAAACAAGGTATAGAACAGCCTTGGTTTCTAAAAATTTAGGTCATCCCATTCTTTTGCAATTTTGAGTCTTCATCCGTAGGTTTCAAGATGGATATACTCGATACGTGAACCATACCATTTTTGAATAAGTGTCCATCCTGGGGCAGTTGAACATTTCTGTGTAAAATTTACCTCTGTAGAGACAGAACTTGCAACTGGTTCTCATGTGGAGTTTGATACTAAATCAATGCACAGACCAGAGGTTTTGTAGCTGAGGACGGAGTTGTGGATAACAACTCCCACTACAATTTTCCCTTAGGAATAGTGCAGAAACTTACCAGCTGGGTGCAGTTGAAGCGGTCATGAACTGGTATATTTCCATTTGAACCGCAGAACAACAAATGCTGCTGACTATTTCATCATTTTATAGAAGATAGAGAAACTCACTTGTATACTGCAATCCGTTTCGGTATATATTTTAACAAGTTGCATTCATCGAGAAAACTGTTCATCGTCTAGTAAACGGTAGTAGGTGCCTCCCTCGATCCTTTGTACAAGTCAGTAAAGCCGCTACGTTCTATGGGGCGAGATGCACTTGCTGTACAGTTGCGCCGCTCCTTTGATAAGGGATTCAGTTCAACGATGTCGTGATTTGAATGCATAGATCTCTGCTGCTAGTACAGAGTCTATTGGCAGGAACAGAACACGTGCGAAACTTCCCCCTGTACTGGGTAGAAATTATTAGGAAACACTTTCTGATTCCATGAGGATATCCAACCAATGCCACAACCAGTTGGTCTTCTCGATACTATGAACAAGAATTACATCTTCCAGACGCGAAGTCATCCGAGAAGGAACTGGAAATCCGCAGCGTTAGGGTCAACATTCAAAACGGAGGTCAGGATGATATGGCCTGATGTACTCATAGATGCTACTGCCTTGACTAGTTTGAGACTACTTAGACAAACGGCTTTCGTCACTTATATCATACTACTTTTGGAAGTATAGCATAGGAGACCCTTTTTGGTCATGAGCAAACCAACACTTAGTGCCGAATTGTTTTTTCACTTCTTGAACCACTAATTCAAAACAAAACGCACCAAAACATCATCTGATGCTTGAACATCCTTGTTCTCAAAAGTGATGGTACATGGGTTCAGACGACCTCATTGATAATGACGTTCACTGCTTACTCTATGTTTGATAGAGTTGCACCTGGAGCACAGCCTACCCCAATTCAGCTTCCAGCTTGAACAGTTCCTATGAGATGCCGAAACATTTAACTCTCCCTTACAAAAATTGTACTGCTACGCAGAGATGGTCAATATTAGAGGTATATTTGTGAAGTTCAATAGCTAGAGGCGGTTGGGTGCAAATCGTCAAATAATTATACAGAAGCTATCTTTGCCTCCTAACAATGACTTTAGGAACCGGGTCCCTCTCATGAACATTGGGAAAAAACTCAGAGCAACCAATTTGAGCTCGACGTCCACCAAGAACCCATCCGACAAACCCTATTGTCGCCCACATTGAGAACCGAAAGAGAATCCCTGTTCGTCTCACTCCATGGTTTACCTCTTCTTCTTCTACTAGTTCATATTTCTCCTCATCGGGAGTCTTCGCATCAGCTGGCCCGAATAGTATCTTCAGTACCTCGTCCACAAAGGGTACCTGCATCCAGGGAGGGGAACGTTGAGACCTTGCTTATTAAGGCGTCCAGCCATTTTACAACTACACCGCTTAATGTCAGAAATGACCTATCATTTGATGAAGCAAACAAACGAAAGGCCAGATCTGAGCATATTTCCTTAAAACGGCTTGTGGCCAATGCTTCAGCAGTAATTTCTATACTGAGTCTTGACTCGATAGAATTCCTGACTAAGATGATTGTAGCCATAACTGTTAATTGATTTACAGAAATGACACACCCCCATGGATTACATAGAAAGTAATCAAATAGACTAGTCTGGTAGGCATGCCTGACGTTGGCACTTACCATGTAAGACAAAATCCATTAGATACCTCCCTGACACCTAAGTATTCTAGATTTTGGAATCGTACAGGGTATGAGAGACACTACAAACTGCAACAATATACAATATACTACATTTTATTGAAACCTATTCAAAAGAAACTGACACAGAAGACGAAGTTAAAACTAGCGTATTTCGATAAGGATTAAAACTAGCATATTTCGATGAGGATTACCTCCGTGTGTGGAAATAATCAGTCGTCATTTCTTACTTACAAGGCTCTTTATCAGAGATACCAAATCACTACATGTATGAAAAACTACAAACAATTGAAGCAGGACAGTGAAGTTGATAGAACAACACACCTTTGACCTCATCAGTTGAGATTTCTCGGACTCTTTCGGCTGGACCACAGCATCTAGGCTGAGGCGATTTAGCGCATGAGAGTTCGGCGGAGCTCGAAGTTCATAACCATGTATTTCAACTACATCTCCTCTCTGCTGTTCCTGATTACGTTCCAATTCCGAAGTAGAACCTCTAGCAGGTGTTTCGTGTTTGTCTGTAATGTCTGTTTTTTTCCTGTTAGTGTCAATCCGCCGGAATTTTCTGATAGTCTGAGTTCTTTGCGTCTCGTTCTTTACAGCTTTTCCATTCGGATCCCTCGTTGATGCACCTGATAAGATCTCTTCCATCACAACATTCGGCCTCAATTGATACTCTGTTTCTTCTGACGAACTTCCGCTACTCCTATCCGTCACACAATCAAAGTAATCACTTCCACTATCGCCCGAACTCCACTCCATGGCGCAGCCCTTCAGGTCACTGCCTCCAGATAAACCCAAAAAAATCGCATCGGCAAGTGAAACACAAATCAACTTAACACCCGAAAATTCCTCACGTGCGAACCTCTAAAACTCGCTCGTGGGTCATCTCGAAAGCATCCAGAGAACGTCAGCAATACCTTCAATCCTCGAAGCTTTCACTAAGCGCAAACCTTCACAAGACGGCCCTGTAACCCTAATTTCCAAACTCGAGCAAGCCCTACTGCCTCGATCATACCTCTATTAAAACAATTTCTGAATCCTCCGTCTAACCATCTATAGCACCACAACTTTCGACGATTTCGCCATATCCTTGATACGATGCCTCAACCCAATCGATCGCAGCATCAGGGAAATCATCGAGACACTGCGTACGCAATCACGAGGAACTCAACAGAGAAGCGGAATCCCGACGCAAATTGGATAATCTTCCGAGGAGCTCGCTCGCCCACTCTGGATTCCAGCGGGACCTCAACGAAGCCCTAAGGTTTCATAGTGTCAAGGAGATGTCAAGTCGGTATTGAGAGATTCGTGGTTTAATTTATACTTTTAAACTTTTTATTTTTATTTTTTTGAATACCAAATGCTTGGGTTTGGCATATTAGCTTATGTGAGCATTGTGGTCTTGATTTATAACAACGTTGTGATTTTGTGTAATGGCTTATCTAAGCATTGTGGTCTTGACTTATGACAATGTTGTGGCCTTTTGTTACAACAATGTGGTCTTTGAGGTTGGCAAAATGTGGTTATGTCACTTTTTCTGTTTTTTTTTTTTTTTTTTTTTTTTTCAATATAGGTTTTTGTAATTGTGTATTTCCTCATTTCTCCTATCTCACAGTAAGTTCTAAGTTCATTGCATGGATAAGAAAGATTACTTGTGTAATTGTTATAATGGTTTGTCATCATTTTCTCCTCTTCTCCTCTAATCTCCTCTCATTTTTTTTGAAAGAAAAGGAGATATAAGTTTTTGACTTTTATAATAGTTGTCATTCTATCTAACCTCAATAACAATTTGCAAGATGATCTAAGGTTACAAATCATACATTAAAAAAGTTCACTAAAAATTGCTACAAAATTATTTGCTAAAAAAATAGATAGTTAATACCTATTGCCTTTGTATCCTAAAACATAATAGCAAATGTGTAAAAACATAGAATGTTATATTTGGTTGATTAGTATTGAGTTATATGTATATATATATATATATATATATATATATATATTGTGGGCCACTTTAAAGACATTTTTATTTGGTAAAATTAATAAGACAAAAAAAAAAAAACAGAAACAAAACAAAAGTATTTGATTTGGATTACAATTAAAACACCACTCAAGATTCTCCTTTAGCTTTTAAAAAGATAGACATTTTCTACCCATTTCCAATATGTATTAATATTAACAATTAAGGTAAGGCCACAAAAACAAATAAATTTCAAAACAATTATTCACAACAGCACAAAATATACTCCAATTCTGCATAGAACTTTATAGCAACTAATAAACAATGATAAAAGAAGACATAATTATACAAAATGATTTGGCATAATTTAGGAAAATTATTGTTTACTAACATATACTAATTAAACTGATGGCCAATTTGTTAAAATAATTACATAATTCACTAAATAACTAACTCATTACAAATGAATTGTAATGTAATCTTTGAGTAAAGAAGACACAATTACAAACACATTTAGTTGAATCCAATCTTTTTTTCTTTAATTTTTAAAGTTTCATGTATTCTTGTTTATATATTCTTTGTGTTGATGTTGTTCTTTAATAAATTATTATTATTATTATTATTATTATTATTATTGTATTGATCTAAATTTCTTTAATGCCAACTTAGATTTTATTCATTCAAAGTACTTTTCGGTCTAACATTTTTTAAATCATTTGTTGAAAAAAAATAAAAAATATAAATATAAATATAATATGGTCTACAATCAACACTAATCATATGCTTCAAGTAAAGATATAAAAAAAAAAGAAAAAAAAAGAAAAAAGAAGAAGAAGTAAAATTTTCACAATAAGTAATAAAGTTGATAGAGTCCTATTTTTTTTAACTCAATTATAATTATAATACTTTAAGGGTATTATCTTAATAATAAATACAACATAATCAAAAAAATTAACCAGATTACTATTTTAGTGTAATAATTTTATATTAAATTTACTATAGATGAATATACAAGTTATATATGTTATAAAATATAATTTATAATAATTTTAATATTAAAAAAAAACTATGCTATACATAATCATAAAATATTATATTCTTCTCTTGAATATGTGAAATTTTGTAAAAATCAAACAAAAAAGATTGACATTAGATATGGGTAAGAACATTAAGTTTCAACTTAAAAAAATTAAAAAACTAAAAAAAAATTAAATTAAATTAAATTAAATAATGGTGTGGATATGATATTTACCATCCATGTTCAATTTTTACAGTAAACATATTTTTTCTTAAAATAGACTAAAATTTAAAAGAAAATTTTAAATTTTATTAACGAGATTTAAATAGGCTTCTATCAAGTTGCTAAATAAGCATAAGTTTTTATTTTATTATATTATATTTAATATTCATTATGTTAAATTTGGTGTAATATATTTCAAATTTTACTTAATTTATTTTTGTAAGTGAATATATATATATATATATATATATATATATATATATTAGTAGGAGTCTTATTTTCTGAAAATAAACATTTGAATGCATACATATATAAATATAATTAATTAATTAGTTTTTATTGTAACAGATAAAAGATTTTTATATTAAATTTGAAAAAATGAGGGATGGAAAAAAATCACTACCCGTTTATATATATATATATATATAGATATAAATATATTTTTTCTTCTCTTCTATCAAATCTAAAGCTTTTTAGTTTTTAATTATTCCTACTTATCACACAAGAATATGAGTTCTAATACAATTTCGAAACTGAAGATTACGGGCCATGGATGATAAACACATTATTATTATTATTATCATTATATTCAATGACTCCCAATCAAAACATCAAAGTACTCTAATTCAATTCCGTTTAGCATTCAACTCTTACACAAACCCAAATGGACGTTTAGTTTTGGAAAAGGGCCAAATGCCCTCTTCGGCCAGCCAGCCACTCTTTGGGCTCCGAGAGAGTCCAGGTCCGCAGCAAATTAGGCGGAGGAACCCGCGCGGTTCTACGCCCGGTTCATCACCCCGACCCAGCCCCGTCCCAACCCGGTCCCAGCCCGGCCACACCGTCTCTCTCTCTCTCAATCTCGAAGGAATTGGCGATGTTGTTGTTCTCCATTGTTTCCGATTCTAGGGTTTGAGGGTGAGCTTGTCCCAGGCATTCTTTGTCTCCGACTGAGCGTGACCAAGACACGCTAGTCGTAGTTGCTGTGTGTGATCGAGTGCTAGCTTAGAAGGGGTCGCCATGTTGAGGTCTCAGCAGCTGTTGCGGAGGACTGTGGCCCTTGCTCGGGCTGCTGCGGGGCGAGGAGCTGTGCGGTCGTTCGCAGGCAAGGCCGAGGCAGCGGAGCAGCATGTGGAGGTGCCATTGCCCATGTATGGAGTGGCTGGGAAGTACGCTTCGGCGTTGTATGTGACCGCGGTGCGGAGCAATGTGCTAGATCCCGTGGAGACGGAGTTGCAGCAGGTGATTGGGGCCGCAGAACAGAACCCCGTGTTCGCCGATTTTCTCAAGGACCCCTCCGTGTCTAAGACGATGCGCATGAAGGCGATGGAGGAGATCTTCGGGCAGACGAAGTTTTCGGATGTCACGAAGAATTTTCTTGCAGTGTTGGCTGAGAACGGGAGGTTGTCCCAGTTGCAGCGGATTTCGGGGTGCTACTCGGAGTTGTTGCACGCTCACCGGGGAGAGGTGCAAGCGCTTGTGACAGCCGCACTGGAGCTCAGTCCTGCGGAGCTTGAGGACATCAAGAACGCATTGAGGGGGTACTTGAAGCCCGGACAGACTTTGAAGGTAGAGCAGAAGGTGGACAGGAGCATAATTGGGGGAATCGTAGTGGATATCCAGGACAAACACATTGACCTTTCGATTGACACGAAGATCAAGCAGATGGAGAAGCTCTTGGCGGAGGCCATCTGAGGCAAATCATGGGAGTAGATAAGTGATGATTAGAACATGGATTTGGCATTGTGTTTTTGGCATTTGAGCAGTTTCTTATGCGCAATGCGTGACCTGTTGAATTAGAAATGGCGATTTCAAGATACGTAATTGAGATGCGTCATGTTACTCTCGACTTGTGCTGATAGTACTTGAACATTCTGGTTATTGCGATGGTGGGTCTCAGGGATTATCAATAAATGCACAGACACGATTCTGGACCAATAAAAACTTACGAGACTACCCGTGGAAGTCTTGAGATGCACTTTTGTTTGTCTAATCTAAGAATCAATCATAGCAGGATGCTTGCGGTCGTTGAGAGATCTTGAGTTAAGAATGCAGAGTGGGGTCTGTTGACATCTGTGGTCTTTAGTAGGAATGCAGATAGTTAGGGTAATCTAGAATGTGCGAAGAATTTGAACCTGTTGAAGTCGAGGGCTTTTTAAGCCGTTGTTGGAACCGCGGACTGGGCAGAGATTCTTCCTTTTTTCCTATCGAGGTTAAATGCAACATGTCGATATGATTATTGCTCCTAGACCGATATTACCTTATAAATCTCCGAAGATTACCACGATATCTAGAGTCTTAGTCAGTGAGCTCGATTGTGCTCGATTATGTGGAACATGTTTTTGTTATCACGATTTTTGGCGTTCAAGTTCAGTGTTTTTAGCCTTGTCCCTACTAACCTGAGCGTATTTCCTTGCTTCATATTGTGATAACAAAGAATGTTGCATTTTGCGTATTCGCTACTTACGTTGTTCACACAGCACGATCAATCATGATTAGATGCTGATGCTGTGCTTCGAGTCGATACTTGCTATCAAGTAGAGAACCATTTCTAGAATCTAAGACGGTTGTTTTAGTCAAGGATCTCAGGTTTGTGGGTTTCTTTCTGCGCCCTTACTTCTCATTTGGAATCTAAGAGGAAGTACAAGTGGCTATTCCTTGTTTTAACTCATTAATCCGTTTGCATAGAATTCATGTTGCACAATCGCATCTCTAGTCAAGGCTCGAATCCTTCCTGAATGGTGAGATAAGCTGTACCTAGCAGTGTTGGAATCTATGAACCCTTTGAGTCTCCGGAACTTCAGAAGTTTCCGTTTTGCGATGGTGTACGTGCAAATCATTGCCAGAAAATGTCGCTGATGAGTTCAGCAGTTATATCCATTGCAGATTTTGACTGCTGCACTCATCAGCTGTGAGAAAAACACTCACAAACCCTCCTTTTTCCGCCAGGTTGTTGGATCGTGTGTTGCAGATACAAGTAAACTTGCACTAGGTTCAGGCACATATCGCTCCTTGAATGCCAACAGAGGCAGGCAAGTGGCGGAAGATTTTGGACTCTTACCATTTCAAACTCTGAAAAGCGGCAAGAGCCAGAACATTGTCAATGACGTGATGGATCAGAGGGGCAAGAAAGTATGAAATGTTCTTGATGTTGGTGATCAACGAGCTTAAGCGAGGGTGATGGTCAAATGTAATCCAAATCTTGTTTCTCCAGAATTCAGTGGAAATCAATGATACGTATTGTAAGTTCAACTACAATACCTTAAGTTGACGACTCTGTAGATTAGCATTACTACCGCACTCGGTGATAGCGTCTGAACATACCTATCTCCCAATAAGTTGCTGAACGTAGTTGACAGGTAATTATGTAAATGTACTCGAACATCAATTATTTCTCAACCCTCGAAAATTGCGATTGGTCTAGAGTGCTCTAATTACTACTAATTTACAGTAGTTCCACATGTATACAACAAAATAGTACACAACGAACTCTTCTATTTGAATACAGATTTAGAACTATATCCTTGCAAAGAGCTCGCATATCTTTGTGGGAAACAATTTGTTTCGTTCTTGATTATGGTATTGCAATTACACAGGTGAATGCTAGTCGGAGAAATTGATAAAATTAGCATTGGCTTGATTCATGCAGCTGCTTTGATATGTACAGAAAGAATGCCTCTGCTGTTTCATTGCAGTAGGATTCAGCTAAGGCATTAGTCACTTCACAGCCAAGAGCCCGAGCCTCAGGTTTCGCTCCCAACTGAGCCATCAAGGGAATCCAAACCTCTGGATTTGCCTCCACAGCTTTGACAAATGCAAGTAATCCTGCTTCTACCCGCCCGGGAAAATTGTCCAACTGCATACAACTAGGAGTCAGTGCTTGCTTCGACGGCTGCCAAATCTTCTGGAAACATAGCAAGGTAGGCACAATGACAAGGCAGAAATGACTGACACAAATGCCGTCCATCCTATCTAGATCAGCGGCATTAGTACTTCTGTCATAGAATGAATACAACACAATACAAGCTACTCCGAAGACGTGTTGTATTCAAATAAATAAATCGAAACATCCAGACAAGGCTGTACCTTAGGAGTTACTTTTTGTTTTTCTGCCCTGAGGCGGTGATTATTCCCCTCAACAGGAAGGCCCACATTTGGGGCCTTTGGAGAATGAGAATCCATTTGATCACCACCTAGCTCATCCTGCTTGGCAGAAGAGACTGTGTCTTTTCTACTGGAGCTCCACATCCCTTGCCTGCTGCCCCACAGACGTAACAGGCGTGTTTTGCTCCACAATAAGGGGTTGGCAAATGTACTAGGTCCATATATTACCCAGTCCTTCCATTTGAAATAATTTCCTGCAGTTTGTTGTCCTACTTCTGGCTCACCAGCTGGTTCCGATTTCAAACTTTCACCAGCATATTCTGTGTACACAGGATCCTTTTCCAGCTTCATAGAATCCAAATAATAATGCTTCAAATTAGCAGAGAAAGTCCTAACAATATCTTTAACTAGCAATACCCTAACTCTTGAGCCTTCCCCAGACAAAATGAAGTTCATCACGTCCAGGGTAGCGGAAGCCACAGCACGGGAGTCAAAAGCTCCTCTTATACCCCCTGCCCTTTGGTGCCCAAATCCATCTTGTCCAACCTGTCCCTTCTCTTTTTTAGTCACGGTAGTTACAGGCGCAGACTGATCTGCTACTGCTACCACCTGCACAAAATATCAGAATGAGAATTAGCTAACCATATGATTTCTCCAAAGAAGTGCAACTAACTGAACAGCAGCAATACATGCAACTGTTAAATCATCTTTCTCAATTCAGAATGTGTCCCATAATTTTGGTTCCCACATTTTTGTTTGAAAAAGGTAATGAATGCGCACCAGGCGTTCTAGTCGATGCCATCGAATAGAGCCATTTTTCCGTATAAGCAGTTCCCTTAAAGTTTCTCGCATCTGAGGATCAGAGTCCGCCAATAACCTACCTACAATGAACGGATATGCACTAGCTACAACTTGGAAATCAGGATCCAGGGTGGTTGCTGTTCCTTCTAAAGATCCAAGAGCTCGAACCACCATAGCGTATTCAGGAGATAAACGAAACTGGAATTTATACATCACCGCCCAAAGTTGATTCATGACACCCTGATTCAGCACCAAATATAAAATCGTCACGAGCAAAAATCAACCATAATTTTATTCTTCAAATAGAGCTTACCAATCTAAATTAATTTCTTTTTCAAATCCTATGGTCTATGATTTCTAGAAATAGGAAACTCATTCAAATATATAAAATTGATACATAATGAACATAAATGTAAATTGTTTGCTGACCTGAAAATCCATCTGAACTTTAGCTCCTTCGTCTCCAAAAGATAAACGGAGCTCACGAGCTACTGGCTCTAGGTCTGTACCTACCGGAATAAAGTCTAACATCACAAAGTCTCTGGCGAGTCCCTCAGAATCCCGATTAACGAAGTGTATTAACTGCATTGCAAATAAGAACAGTTTGGTAAGAACCTTTCTAATTAACTTGCCTCATTCAATCATCGCTAAACGAGCAAATAGGTGAAAAAGAAAACGCAGTAGATATCTTGCACATGGCCCTCTAAAAGCCTAGACTTAGAAATACAACGGCAATGTGGGAAGGCTGAAAACGTACTGTACGAATCAAACCAATTCGGTACTCCCGACGCAATTCACTCATCATTCCAAAGTCAAAATAGGCTAACACGCCATCCCTTGTAACTACAACATTGCCTGGATGTGGATCAGCATGAAAATAACCCTCCTCCAACAGTTGTCGAAGGGATGATAATACTCCCTGTCAATGTCTCATCAGTTCTGTGACTTGAGAAAAGAAAAAGAAAAGTTCTTCTACAAATCATCACATTCAAGAAAATGTAATAAGAACATTCAGCAGAAGAATACGAAGTCGAGGGAAAGTTAAGAACTCTGCACAAAGATATTACATAACAAATATTACCTGATCAACAAGGTGTTGGATGTCAAAACCAGATGCAAGTAAAGAATCTCGATCAGTAAGCTTTATACCGTCAATCCACTCCATCGTCAACACTCCCTTAGAACTATACTCCCAGTATATTTTTGGAACTTTTACTACGCCATCTCCACTATTTCCATAGAAGTCTCTCACCATTTGGCTAGATCTTGAGCCATAATGATGATTTTGTCGATTACTTGCTGAGGATCGTTCACTTTCTGAAAGCATCGCGGGTTCTTTGTTATTCTGAAGCCTTAATGAGAAACACTCTTCAAACATCAGATGTTCTAAATGCCGTCATAAAAAGGAAAGAAAAAACTAAAACTGACTAAGATTGGTTATTAATTTATCAAATCCCTGACCAAGTCTTTTGAGATAACTCAAGCATTTGACAAAGCTAAGAACATAACAAATAGTGGTGGAAGAGAAACAACATACTTGAGGGAGCGCGGAGTCCAAAAAGAGCAGCGAAACGTTCTGCATTGTAACCTTCTTTGATATAATCCACTTCCTCAAACATATGTCCAACCTGAAGTATTCCCATCCAATTCACAAGTGTTTGTTACGAAGAGGTTTACATGACACTGATCAGGTGAATGACAGGATCTTAAAACACTTGTCAAAGAATGCTAGTGCTAACATCATTTAATAAATAGTTATTTAACACAAAAAACTAGTTTCAAAGCCTGCAGACTCCCCCAAAGAACATCGAACTCCACAAAAACGGTTAAGCTCTTCACCATTTCATCCACAACTGCCACAAGATCACTTCGTGTTCCCGCGAATTTCTGCATCTGACCTCCAAGCATGCGCAATAGGTGAGCATCGAGCGCTAATACTTCAGGTACGCCTGGCCTTTGCACTTTCACAGCTACAGCCTCTCCAGAGTGTAACCGTGCTGTTTCGATGTCAGCAGTTAAAAATTAGCCTCAGTACAGAAAAACTACTACACATATACTAAAAGCTAGGCGCTGCAAGATCTCTGAGGAGTATACAAGCGTCATGCGTTGATAGAAAGCAATGGGTCTTTTCAGGTTTGATTCTATCCAATGTCATTTCACGGAAGAACTGTTACGAACTACTGGTTTGCAGTAGAGACTCGATAGCCAATACTCAGACGTCACAAGCCAAGAGTAACTTGAAAAAAAGAGTCTAGCGTACTCTACTGGAAAGCATATTCGCTCTGGATATAACAGCCTGTCTTCACTACTGAAAGATTGAAAAGACAAAAACAACATGACCTCTGTAGTTAGTACCTCTGTACACCTGACCAAGAGACGCAGCGGCAACAGGTTTCTGCGAAATTTCAGCGAATACTTGTGAAGCAGGTTTTCCGAACTGACTTTCGAAAAACTTTAACGCCTCCAACGTTGGAAATGGAGGAATTCGATCCTTCAATAAAAGGACGGCCGCAGTGAGTGAATAAATATACGAATTTAAGCAAGATGATAAAGTTAAAACATTCACATGAATTTAAGCATAGTTCTTGTCTTCTATACACGTGTTACAATCCTTCACATGACCAGATACAACACTCTTTACATAAATCAGTGCAACTTCCAGAAGCTTTAATAAAAATAAAATCTTTGAGCACGCTATATTATGCCTGTATGGCCATCGTTAAAACATATCCAGTCCTCTTCTTATGAACGAACCTGCAATTTCGCAAGCTCTTGACAGTAAACATGTGGTAGGATATCAGGCCGTGTACTCAAAGCCTGCCCAAGCTGCAAATTCCAAGCACAGACCTCAGTTAATAGCATACCATAACCGGCTCACTAAGGAAATGAAAAACCACCTTTCCAAATGTCTTTGCAATACTAACCTTGATGTAAAATGGGCCCAGACGAATTAGACTGCAACGTAGCTGCATCACACCAGGAAGTGGTTTGAGCGAAGGCAGGGAGGTTGAAGCAATATTTTGAGCAATATCACGAAGAATTGACACGACAAGAACGTCTAACTAATTTTCAGTTCTAAATATTAGCAATTAATGAATCAAGTCAAACGTAACATCTCACAACCGTGAACCTTGAAGGTAAATTCCACGAGAAATGATGCCCAGTGAGATAGCCAGTAAGCGCACAGCTGTTTAAGGACGACGGTGTATTGAATTCTAGACCTAATCCTATACCTAGGTAACTGAAATAATTCATTCAAACAACCAGAAGACTCCTCAATTATATCACAGGGAGAGTAAAAATAGTCACCTTCTCTGCCCGCTTCTGAATGTCCTTCTGAACAAAGTGCCAAAATGTCAGCATGCCAATCTCAAAGACAATTGTCATTGCTCGAAATGCAACCGGAAAAGGTCTGTAGCGATAATATTTCTGAAACGCCACCGGGTCATAAGTCTGCCATCTTGTAGGAGCACGAGCATCTTGAGTAGCTGAATGAAAGCCATGTGCTTTGCCAAAATCTCTGCAAAAGGCATACTTACTGACGTGCTTAAATTTCTATAAGCTAGGTACTTCGACTACAAGTCATAAGCCTCTTTATTGTCGTATCCTTTAATACCTCCACGGGACTACTTAAAAGGTGACACTCACCACAGGGGTGAGGAACTCTCTCAAACAGGCATCTCAATATATATATATATATATCTTAAAATGGGAATGACTCTCCTACATGCGAGCTGGGCAACTACTGTATTATCTCATTGACCACATACACTGGTTTAGAATGGCAACAATCTAGCAACTATGCAATGCTACTCAAACAAATAAGTGAGGACGTAGTACATGTGCAATAAACCACTGGTGGCACAAGATGACAATAAAATGAAGCGCTCAGCTCCAAAGGACTTCCTTTCCTTCACAACCGGGTGCTGACGGATGCTGTAATCAAAAACATCTGAAACCACTGCAGGTGCGCAAAAACCCAATTGAGCTACCAAAAATCACTACATCAAGTTCAAAGACGGCCATTTTGTCCAATCGCAATACAATGTTTTCGACGAAACAAGTGATGTATCCTCAAAATAATCGCACCACACCGCTAAAAGTGCTTCTATACTGGGGGTACGTGTAAATAAAGTATTTGGAACTATGAGTGATTTTTTAAAACTACCTAACTTCTTAAAAGTAGGAGACAAACGTTCTGATCAATCCATTTACAAAGCAGAGTTTGAGATTCTGTAAGGTAAAGCTACTGTGATGACAACAGTAACTCCACCAGGATTTCGAAGTGGCGGAGCTCAGTTTACATGATCCAATTAGAAGGTATGTACTTGAGGTTGAGTTAAAAGTTTGTAATAACAAAGTTCAGCTAATCGCACTGTGGCTCTGAATGGTCTCCAAAAGTTGGCCGAGTACTAAGTCCTCCACAAGCTCGTCAATTCTCGACATCACTAACGGAGAATTCGTATAGAAGCTGTGGTTTTCTACTCTTAACCGAGCGCTGTAGGTATAACTTTACAATCAATAAATAAAAACGAAACGAAACGAAACACCTAGTCCCAGGCATGAAAATCGCCACTGACACCTCCAATTGGAGCTGTGCGATGACACAATGCCAAGGGAACCCACCAGAACCGAAATCAACTAGCCGCGATCTACGTAAAGTGCTAAAAAGAAGCACATAAAAAACCATTCACACTCCAAATAACGCATTCAATCATGAATTCGAATCGCCATTGCAAACCCGCTCGTAATTCCAATGTTCTAGCAATCCAAATTTTCATCCACTCAACAGCATTCAACTGCACCCAAATCGCATAACCACAAAATCACTAACCAGCAGCATGAAACTTCCCCCGTCGCACCACCTCTCTCAAACACCACCCCCGGTACCAGTGCGCAATCAAATGCACCATGGCGTTCTTCATGAACCACCGTTCACACTCTCAATCCCCATGCCCTTGCACCCACGTCCCCCGTCCACCTCCAATCCCCAGAATCCCCCCGCCAAAACCCAAAATCACACGTCAATTCAACCAACGCAGGAGCTCCACAGAGACGACTTCCGAACTGGTCTATTCCCGAGGCTGATCACACAAGACGCATGCGCAGGGGGGATTAGGGCACTGGTTGTGAAACGCATGGCGATGGAAATGCATTGAGAGAACGAGAAGAATTGGCCTGGACAGGAGGGCAGGGTGGAGGGGGGGGAGAGCAGGCGTGGCAAGGTTAGAGATGAGCCAGACAAGACAGCCCTGGAGAGTAAGAAAATAAAAGGCAGCTCGGGGGAAAAGAGAGGGCGCTATTCCCACCGAGCTCTCTCCCTCAACTGCGTGCTTGATGGGTGGAGTGGCAGCTGCAGTGCTCCTCCTAAACCCTCCTCGTCGCACCTCGCAACTCGATCGATCGATGTCGACCTGGCTGGCTCTGTGCCACTGCGTCGCTGCGCCCATGTGGCGGGGCTGCGTGGCCCGGCGCGCGGGCCCGGCGCGTCGCACTAAGTAGCACCCGTCCGATCGCACAGCACGGTAGCGAGGGCGGCGCCGACGCCAAGTGAAAATCAATACAGATTTCTCCTTGTTTAATTGATAAAAATATAATAAAAAATGAATTTATAATTAATATCTAATCATCTTGATTTAATAACAATTCAAGACATTTAAACATGGCTTTTATAAAAGTTTCTTAGTTTGTTTTCTTATTGTAATAGTTAGTAGATTAAAAGTTGGTTAGTAATTTTACCTTTTAGGTTGTAGAAACTCTTTTATTGCCTTAAAAAAGCCATAAATTGATAAAAACAAGATGAGAGAAGTGATAATTAGTACAATTGACACTAGGGTTAAGTTGAGGGTATGGTCAAGCTAAAAAACTCCTAGGATAGGTTGGATTGATATTCAAAGGTTGGCTGTTTGTAGGATAGGGTTAAAATTAGACTTCTAGCTACTGAAATAGCCACCTAGAGCAAAGTAGAGGAGCATTCAAAGATCAACAATTAGAGTTGGAGAGCTAGCTTCAAGTTCATTCCTAAGATATAAGGCATGTTTTTATAGAGTTTGGAATGACTTTGTAATTGTTTTTGAAAGTCATGGTTTGTATTGGTGACTTTGAATTTATGCAATACAATTAGGACTAGCACTCTTAGCTAGCTTGTGTAATTAGTGTCATATCTATAGTTCAAAATTTAATAGTGCTTGATTGATTGGATATACTAAAAAGCATAAAATTTTGTATTAATTTAATTGTGCAATTGAGAGATAACTAGTTTTTGATATAAGTAGGTATCAAAAGTTGGCAATTTGAGGTTGGATAGGATTTCTAAGAAATCTAAAGATCTACTAATCAAAACAAGATGAAATTTGGAATGGTATTAGAAGACTTGAAGATCAAGCTACACCTCAATTTTGAGCTAAAATTAATAATTAGAGAAAGAAAAATTGCTACTAGAATATCTACATCAACTTTCAAGTTGGCAGTTGAGTGACATTAGTGCAATTTTTTTGGACGTTTTTTCACAATTTTTAAGTTGAATTAAGTTGAATTTTTTTGAACATGTAGAAAATTTATAGTAATATTTGTATGCAAAATTTTGTATCAAGTGGATGGTCAGATTAGAAGTTATAACTTATTGAAGTTCACTAATTAGGATTAGGACTTACAAAGAAAAATCAAAATTGCCTAATTATGAAAGTAATAAGGCAATTAAAGCTTGTATATGGTTGAAGTTATTAAAAAGAATATTTTTAAGCACTTTGTATTGACTTTATGTACTTTTGAATTGAAATTCGAATTACATTCTTTTTATATGGATGAAACCTATTAGGATTTTTTGGATACTTATAAAATACAACTTCACCTTTTATAGCCATGTACCTAGAGCATTCTCAAACAAGACAATATATATATTATGACATTGTTTAATTACTTTATAATTTGAGCTGCAAGTAAATATTCTAATATAAATTACTCTTACTAATTTTTACTTCAATCAAATCAATAGATATTGCTAGATTGCAAAATTGCTTGTTAACCTTAAATCTAAATTATTCAAGACCATAATCCACAAAAACCCTCATATTCTTCAATTTAATTCCTTAATTGACCTCAAGTATTTTACACACATTTAAAACATATACAACAACAAATTATCCAAGTTTTACTTATAAATATGCTACAAAATTCACAAAATCCTAAAATTTATAAACTTATTTTTATTTCTCAAAATGTCATGGATATACGCATGTAAGCCAATAATTACATATATAAATAGGTAGAAATAAGTAAAAGTATGTAAAAGTAAGTTAATTCTATAGTATTTGCTATAGAAGCTTCATAGATGCTGCTTTGACTTTATATGTGTCTTTAATTGAATTTTTGGATTAGAAACGTGGTCAACAAGTTGGCCATGTGCCACACATGTTGTTAGCTTGAAGACCAAGCTAACTATGTGGCCCACACGTAGAAAAACTTCCCTTATAAGTCAAGGCATGTGTCCTACAAAGTCAACACATATTGGAGGTCCTCTAGAACATCGTGTCACGGACATACATATAATTACCTATATGAATAGATAAAAGTATGTAAAAGTAGGTTAATTGTGTAATATCTTCTAGAGAAGCTTCTTAGAAGCTTCATAGACACTGCTTTGACTTTATAGGAGTCTATAGTTGACTTTTAGGTTAGAAACTTGGTCAATAAGTTAGCCATGTGCCACGCATGTTGGAAGCTTAAAGAACAAGCTAACTACGTGGTCCATCCATAGAAAACTTGCCTTGCAAGCAAAGGCATGTGGCCTAGAAAGTCAACATATATTGGAGGTCTTATAGAACATCGCCACGTGGCTTCTAGTTAGATAGTATATATAGAGGCAAGAGTGAAGCCCTCTTCACTCTTGTCAACTCCTTTCTTGCTTCTAGTCCAGTTTCAAGGGTCTCTAGTTTTCTTGTATTTTGGCAATAGTCATTCCAGTTTCTTTCTTAATATACATATTTCTATTTTTTCCTATTTCTTTTTGAGAAAAGTCTCACTTACTCTTTAGCTTTCATCGAGTTCTTGTCCTTGACAGATTGACAAGAGTACACTTACAATATCAGAGCTTTGTCTTTTCTTGATTAAGAGTGGATTACCCCTTTTTCTTGATAAGACATAAGCGCATTAGAAGTTGCGGATTACCCTCTTTTAAACTGATATTGTTCTTAGTATTTTCTTTGTTATCAATTCCTCTCTTCTATTTGTTTTGAGCGTTATTAGACATCTTCTCTTTTCTAAGTGCTACTATGGCAGAGCTTGTTGAAATGAAGAGTGCAATGGCACAGATGCAAGAACAATTGAGGGAGTTAATGCTTGCGATGCATCAACTCAATTTACCACCACAAGGAGCAACAAGAATGGTAGGAAGTGAAGATATAGAGATGATTGGGGTTGCTTCGACATCTGCACCAAACCATGTCCCTTCTCCCAGAATGGAACACCCTTCGAGTGTTAGAGAACCGAGAGTTGCCTTGCCCGAGAAGTTTGATGGTACCAGATCCAAGTTTCGAGGATTCATCAATCAGGTCCAACTAGTGATTGAACTTCAACCCCAGAGCTATCCAACTCCAGGGTCACAAGTTAGATTCATTGGTACACTTCTTTCAGGTTCAGCATTGTCATGGTTTTCATCTTTTCTTGAACGACGAGATCCAATATTGGATAATCTGGAGGCTTTTTTGGCGGAGTTTCGATCCATGTTTGGAGAACATGATGCAATTCGTGTTGCAACCAACAAGATCCGTATTTTGCGACAAGGCAATCGATCAGTAACATTATATGCTTCGCAATTTCGACAACTTGCAACTGATATCAAGTGGGATGATGCCGCACTTGTGAGTCAATTTCTCTACGGATTACAATATGAGGTAAAGAAATTGATGCTTAATTTACCTGATCCTCAAACATTGAGTCAAGCAATTGACTTTGCTGTGAAGTGCGACAATCGACTTTTTGAATTTCGATCCGAGAGTCGCACAAGTGGGCCTCAACGTTACTACAATTCAATGGCAACACCGACGTCTCCTCAACACATACCTTCAGAAGTAGAGGATATGCAAATTGATGCGGTACGTTTCAAACCTCTTACTGAGCAAGAAAAGTCTCGTCGTCGACAAGAAGGATTGTGCTTATATTGTGGAGAACCTAAGCACACTGCTCAACATTGTCCAAAGAAGCGACGTAACTACAAAATGAGGAGTACGGCTGTCAAAGAAGACAGTATGTCGGAAAACAAATACGTCCAGCTACAATAGGGACCGTGCGGCTGGAATCTTGTACAACTTCTAATGAAGGTCCTATCCTCTCCTCAGAACCATCTCCTTGTTTTATAATAGATGTGCGTTTAGGACCTAATAATTACAAAGCCTCTGCCTTGGTAGATTCAGGAGCCTCATCTTGTTTTTTAGATGAAGAATTTGCTAGATGTCATAGAATATCATTAATACAAAAAACTAAACCTGTACACGTAGAAGTCATAGATGGTCGTCCGTTGTCTTCTGGAGATGTAACTCACGAAATACTTCCTGTAGATGTAGTAATAAATGGTCATAGTAGTTGCGTAATTTTTAATATAATTAGATCTCCCTCTAATCCAGTAATTTTAGGCTTATCATGGTTAGAAAAGTATAATCCTCGAATAGATTGGATTTCTCGTAAACTTGATTTTCCTCAGAGCATTAGTAACAGTTCTATTAATCAAGTAAAAAACCATGAGTCTAGTATAGTAAAACTCGCACTTATAGGTGCAAAAGCATTTATACACGCAGCAAAAGAAGGATCAACTTTTGCTATTTATGCTGCACCTATTTCTGAAAGCGTAAAGACTTCAAGTGGCATTCCAAGTCAATATCAGGATTATCAAGACGTTTTTGAGAAAAAAAATGCAGATATTCTTCCTGAGCATCGCCCATACGATTGTTCAATCGATCTCAAGGAAGGAACTCAGCCACCATTTGGACCAATTTACAGTTTATCGTAAGATGAGTTGGCTGAACTCAAGACATATATTGACGAGAATTTAGCGAAGAATTTCATACGCCATTCAAAATCTCCAGCAGGAGCTCCAATTCTATTCGTAAAGAAAAAAGATGGATCTTTACGAATGTGTGTTGACTATCGAGGACTCAACAAGATCACAATCAAGAACAGGTATCCATTACCTTTGATATCAGGACTCCTTGACCAGTTAAATCAAGCTAAGATCTATACAAAAATAGATCTAAGAGGAGCATATAATCTAGTACGGATATAAGAAGGAGATGAATGGAAGACTGCGTTTCGAACCAGGTACGGGCATTTTGAATATAATGTCATGCCT